GTTTGTTCTGCCAGTCCTCAGGTCAGTTTCTGGGGTATTTGGGATGATTTGATAGTTAACTTAATTATATTTGTAGATCAAGGTGAGCCTACGGTCCTCTTACTTTGCTACCATCTTACCCTGTCCTGGATTCCCTTTTCTTTATTTTTATTACAGGTTTTCAATTTGTTGTTGTTCATAAACAACTTAGGTGTATAGCAGTCTATTTTAAGTTGATGGCTGCTTAAGTTTAAACCCATTCTCAAAGCATTTTTTACTCATTCCTCACATTTTATGTATATGATGTCATACCTGACATCCTCTTATTTTGTGAAACACTTGACTGATTTTCATAGATAAAATTTATTTTCCTGCATATGTGCTTTAACCTCCATACTAGTTTTGTTAAGAGATTAATCTACTTTTGTTTGCATTTATCTGTGAAGTTTTTCCTTTTATAATTTTCTTACTCCTGATTATGGATTTTCTTCCCCAAAAAATTCCCTTTAACACTTCTTGTAAGGCTGGTTTATTGGTGATGATTTCCTTTAACTTTTGATGGTCTAGGGAACCATCTCTCCATCTATTCTAATAAAGAACTTTGGTGAGTAGTGTGTTCTTGGTTGGTTTTTTCTTTTCAGTACTTTGAATGTATCATGGCACTTCCTTCTGGTCTGTAGAATTTGTGCTAAAACTTATCTGCTAGTTTTATGGGGTTTTGCTTGTATGTGACTTTTCTCTTTTAGCTTTAAAATTCTCTTTATCAGTAATTTCTGCTATTTTAATTACTATATGCCTTCATATATCCTTGGGTTAGGTTGGTTGGGGTTCTCCACGCCTCTTGGATCTGGAGGTCTGCTGCCTTCCCCAGATTAGGGAAATTTTCAGCTATTATTTCTTCAAATTTTAGTGCCTGCATCTCTATTCTCCTTCTGCGATCCCTATAATGCAAATGTTATTATGCTTGATGATGTTGCTGAGATTCCTTAATCTGTTCTCATTATTTTTTCTTTTTCTCTTTAGCTTGGTTGATTTCCATTACTCTCTCTTCTATGTCACTGATCCATTATGCTTCCTCCAATCTTACTAATTACCTCTAGTGTATTTTTAATTTCAGTTGAGTTCTTCATCGGTTTTTTCTATTTTCTATCCCTTTGTGAACATCTCACTGAGATCCTCCACACTTTTCTCAAGGCCATTGAGTAGCTTTATGACCATTACTTTAAATTCTCTCAGGTGTACTGCCTGTCTCCATTTCATTTAGTTCTTTTGCTGTGGTTTTATACTGGTCTTTCATTTGGCTCATTCCTCTCATTTTGTCTACTCTCTAAGTCAGCTATGTCTCCTGCTCTTGATCTGGCCCTAGGAAGAAGAGTTCCTGGGGTGCCCTGTTGCATAATACCCCGTTCACCAGGACCAGGTGCTTCAGCACTGTCTCCTATGTGGGTTGTTTGTGCCCTACTGTTGTGAGTGACCCACATTTGCTTTCAGTTGCAGTCAGTTGCAATAGGCTACTTTGCCTGTTGTGGGTACACTAGTTTGGTCCCTGTGCTGTTAAAGGGCCAGTGCAGGGGCCACAATGGTCCTATAGTTGGATGCTGTCAGCAGTCAGACCAGATGCCGACCCTCAGCCCTTCTGCCAGGGCTATAGTCTCATGGACATGCAAAGCATTTTCACTTCCTTGTCCCCTGAGAGGCTTTTGTTGGTAGGTCAGGGCCTGCAGTCAGGCCTAATGCCTGCTCCCAGCCTGTCTGCCGGGACTGTGGATGCACAGGTGTGTGTGGTTATCTTCCCCTCTCCTTGAGGCCAAGAGTTAATTTGGAGTGCTGCCAGCTCCTGCTGGGGCTGGCTGTAGGGTGTGCTGAGACAGAAGCTACATTGGAGATACCTGCCAAAGGGGGTGAGTTGGAAGGGGCAGATATGCAGAACATGGGGGTGGAGCATGAAGTCTTAGCAAGATAGATGGAAAGTAGACTTGTTCTAACAAGTGTCTGGCTATCTAGCCTGGGGCTGGAGGGAAATGGTACATGTCAAATATTTTGTTCTTGGAGAAGTCTTCTGTCCCTGACCCTCGAGCACACATTGAGATTAGTAAATAACTCTTCATGTATACCCCAAGCACTTTTCAAATTGCTGCTTCTATGCTGTATCTCAGACAGGTTATGGGCCGTTAAGGGCAGGGAATCTATTTCGTATGGCCCTCAGCTCTCCTGAAGCTAGGTATGTGAATTTTAAGTATTCAGTGTTAAACCCTGATGATTGTAAAACTAACATAAATTTAAACACCTGTGGTTTTCAAAGACAAAGGTTAAGGGGACTTGTCTGACCAGTGCAGGTCCCCTGTGCCTGGAATGCCTTGTGTGGGATCTCTACCGTTACTAGTCAGTCTCACTGAGGGCTTCTCAACCATGTCTCCACCCCTCCTACCCTTTTAGATGTGGCCTCTTATCTACTGTGGACGGTGGAAAGTCTATTCTACTGGTTATTTTCTGAGTTAGCTTGCTCACGTGGCTGTTATCTCAGTGTGTCCCTTGGAAAAGGTGAGTTCAGGATCTTCCTACTCTACCATCTTCCCTGAAGTCCTTCTCTCTTTTTCTTTCAGAAATTAGTTTCCTTACAGTGGCTACACTACTTTACATTCCCACTAACAGTGCATGAAGGTTCCCTTTTTGCCACATGCTCACCAACACTTGCTGTTTCTTATCTTTTTGATTCTAACCATTTTGACCTGTGTACAGTGAGATCTCATTGTGGTTTTGATTTGCATTTTCCTGATTATCAGTGATGTTGACCATCTTTTATGTGTCTTTTGGCTAGCCATCTGTATGTCTACTTTGGAAAAGTCTATTCAGGTTGTCTGCCCCCCCCCTTTTTTTATTATTTGGGGTTTTTTGTTTTGTTGTTGAGATGTGTAAGGTCTTTACATATATTTTGGATATTAACCCCTTACTGTATGTATCATTTGTTAATACCTTCTCCTATGCAGTAGCTTGCCTTTTTGTTCTGTTGGTTTCCTTTGCTGTGCAAAAGCCTTTCATTTTCATGTAGTCCCACTAGTTTAATTTTAACTTGTTTTCCTTGCCTGAGGAGATGTCCCTAGAAAAATGTTGCTAGAGCCAATGTCAAAAACTTAATACCTGTTTTCCTCCAGGAGTTTTACGGTTTTAGTTCTCATATTTAGGTGTTTAATTTGTCTTGTGTTTGTGTATGGTGTAAGAAAATGAGGCCTTCAGTACTATGTTGAAAAGAAGTGGTGAATGGGGACATCCTTGTCTTGTTCCTAGTGGAAAAATTCAGTTTCAACATTGAGTAGGAGATTAGCTTTGTGTTTTTTATATACGGTCATTAGTATGTTGAGGTATGTTGCCTCTAAACCTATATGTTGAGATTTTATTACAAATGCGTGTTGCATTTGCCAAATGATTTATCTGCATCTATTGAGATCATGTGATTTTTATCCTTTCTCTCAATGTGATGTAGCATGTGACTGATTTGCAAATATTGAACCACACTTGCATCCCTGGAGTAAATCCCTTGATCGTGGTGAGTGATTTTAATGTATTGTTGGATATCATTTGCTAATATTTTGTTGAGGATTAATCTGATACCAAAAATCATATACAAATACTACCAAAAAACCTCCCCAAAACTACAGGCCTGTATATCTGATGAACCTTAATACAGAAATCCTCAACAGAATACTAGTGAGCCTCACATAAGATTTTAAACCTTTTAGCAAAAAAAAGTCGAAAAAAGCTGAATATAAATTTTATTTAACATACTAGATACCAAAAATAATTTCACCAATATACAAAATTGAGATATTTTATATTCTTTGTACATCTTCAAAATCTTGGGTTTTATACTGATACATGTCAATTTGTATTAGGCATATTTTAAGGGCTCAATACCCACACTAAATTGTAGGAAAAGAAATTGCTCTGTATCTTTCCATTGTCTGGTCTTACTAAGTTACTTGGGGACAAACGTGTGAATATATGCTACTCCCCAAATTCTATATTCTATCATTACAGATTTGGATCAGGATATACTACTAGCAGAATTTAAATAGTAAAATTAAAACATGTGAAACCAGTGTTACATCGGATACTAGAAAAATGGAAACAGAATAGTTGCCATGTGAAGTTCATTTCAACCATTCATCCACTTAGAGATATTAACACAACTAACAGTGAGTAGACAGTCTTGTTGTTAGTACTTACCAGAATTAATCTTCTGTATTTCCTTACTTATATGTGTGCATCTGTATCTCCTATGACACTCCATAATGGAAGGAACTACATCTTTCCTTAGATGTTACACATAGCCATGGTCAGGTGATCAGGTACTGTTAAATCAATGTGGCCATGGTTTATCGGCCTGAACCAGCTTGTTATTTCATTACTCAGTGTTTTCTAGTAGTTAAAACAGTCCACATTTTCTCAATGAAATTTTCTCTTAAACCATTTTTAGTACCTTAACCTAATCATTAAAAAGTAGTTGAGAAAATCCCCACTATGACAAATGGCATTTATCATGTTTTAATCAGTCAGACTCTGCTCCTCCAAACACAGCAAAAGCAGAATGGTTGAGGCACAAATACGTACAAGGAAACAGCTTTGTCCATCAACCTCCAACTGGAAGGAAAGAATAGTAAACAATATTTCCTACCACAGTCAATAGTGGCTTGGTTCTTAAGAGCTCTTGAGACTTAGAATGGTTGCCAAAGGAGTTCCTGTTAAGTTGAACCACAGAATCACCGTAGTAGCCATGACCCAAAAAAACCCACAAAAAACCTAAATTATGACTAAAGGTCAAACCTATTAAAAAAAAAAAACACACACACACACCCAAGCTCCAGCTCATTCTTGAATGATATGAATAACACTGTATTACAAAGTCCTTTTGCCAGTCTTCAGAGTATAGGAATAATTTTATCTAACTTAGATGTAAAAACTGGGAAAATGCAAGACTTGAAAGAGTAGCTCTTACCTTTTTATTCTGTATACAATAAAATGGCAGTTTAATAATCCTGGTATTTCCTACAGTAATTATCACTGTAATAATTGAAGCACCAAAAACTCCTAATCAAACGTTTCCTGTTTTGTAGACTACGGGAATACACAAGCATTTCATACCATTCCCACATTTATTCATCTTGTATCTAAATCTTTAAAAAGCTGAATATTTAAAATGCACTAAAGAAAATCACTTTTCCCTTTTCTTTTTAGGTGAGTGTTCCACAAGTGGGGTAAATTCAGCTTCCTCACTGTGTTTCCTTTTCTTTTTTTTCTTTTTACGGTCACTCTGGTAACCACTGGAGTCACTGCCTTGGAAAACAGGATCCTGGTCCTGATCTTCCTGGTGCCTTTTCTTCTTTTTTGGCTCAGCCTTCCAGAGGCCATTCACATTATCAATCTGCAGGTCTGTCTCTTCCTTCATTGTGGCATCTGCACAATCTGCTAGCTCTCTGTTGTCACTTTCTACTTCGTATGATTCTGGGTCTGTCGTCTTTTTCTTTTTCTTCTTCTTGAGAGGTTTTTCAATAATTTCTTCAGTGCCAGTTTCTGTTACTTCTTCAGAAACTGCAGAGCACTTGGTTTGTAAACTAACAGTTGAAAAAATTTATAGAGCAACAAACAAAAATAAAATGAGATCAAGAATATACCAAGTGTTTTTTTCTAAATAAAGACAGCAGTACAAGATATAGAAGTATGGCATAAATTTTCAATATTCTATCTTGTTATCCCTTAGCCCATTAAAATGTAGCTTCTAAATTTTGGTTTGGTTTAGAAAAATTAGGTCACAATAAACATCACCATACCCAGGCTTATTAGCTGAACAACTGACGAGTGATAAAATACATACTTTATCTGTGAAATTAATGGAGTTTCTGTCTCTCTCAATCCTCGTTTCATTTTTTTTCCCTTAACCATGCTTGAAACAATAATACCTTCAAAGTTAAGAGTTAACACTAAAATAAAAACACGGATCAGTGAAGTAGGCCTCTCTCTGGAACTGCAGAGTCCTATACAGTAACATTAGTTATGTATGACTAATTTCAATGAGATAACTTTACTACTACACAAATAAAGCACACATTTCTATCATCGCAGAAAGTTCTATTGGACAACTGTTCTAAAACTTTAACCCATAGTCTTGTTAATATTTTTTTAGATTTTGCCTTGATTATTAACACCAGTAATATTCCCAAAGCTTTTTTTTTCCTTCACTCCATTAAACTTGGCTCCCATTGAACCAAGCGCAAGATGACAGTTCTTAAAAGAATTTTAATACAAAAAAGATTCAGAAATTATCTACCTGGCATAATGACAAAACTCAAGAGGCTAATAGTTATGCAATATGATCAAGCTTTTGTTTGTTAAAAAACTAGAAAACAGTAAGACTGAGTAAAATAGGGAACAGTTAGCTAGATGTGTAGAGCTTTAGAATATTCAATACATTGTCACAGCACTTAAGATTCCTATTTACATTGACTTTATTGTTTGAAGCATGAATATTCTAATTTTATTTTAAAAGAGGGGCTTATATTCTCTAAATCATCAGAATTAAACAGAAATAATTATCAAAATTCAAAATAATGTGATTAGGAACTGACCTAGTGGTATTTAATTTTCCCCGAATGCAGAATACTCCAGCAGCATCTGAGTCCAAACGAAATACTTCAAATTCTAGCTCATCACCCACGTTTATCTCCAGGTTCTGCCACTGCTCTGCAGGCATCTGCTCAGGTTTAGGGATGGAGGCATTGAAACACCCATGTACTAAACAGCCAATGTGGCTGGAAGACACTTTATTAACTGTACCCTGGGAAGAAAGGAAAGGGAAAAGAAAAAAAAAGTAACATCAAGAAATCCAAAGAGTTTAAAAGGTAAGTAAAACTTTATAAGCTTCAAACTGATCTTCAAAGAGAAAACATCAAAATATGGTGTAATTTGATATGGGAAAAAGTTTTTCAATTAAAATTTACATGTTATACTAAACCATCATTTTAGAACACTGTAGACTTTTTAGAAAGCTCAAACTTTACTAAATAATTGCGTATCAATTGCCTAACTCGATAAAAAAAACAAAAACTCCTTAGCTCCCACCACAGGATTCCCTGGGGAATAGATTATAACCATATTAATAGATTATAACCATATTGAAACCAAGCAGAAAATACCCTTTGATATGACGTAAATGTGAAAAGACCTCAAGGCAGGAAGCATATGCTTTCTATAACTACGATCCACATTATATTTCTATCAACAGTCTGAATTTCAAAGCTTAAAGAGCATTCTTTAACTTTAGCATGATGTAAGCAATCTATCAGAAGACAGCTTACCCTTCATATGTAGAACTTGAGCATGGCTATTTTGACTGAATCACAGTAACATTTTTAGAAGCTTTAAAATTAAAGTACGTGCTATATGATTTTAAGCTTAAAATTAAAGTTTAAGAAAAAGCCTTCGTTTTTTTCTTCCCTTAAGAATCAATATATATAACATATAAATGAACATCTGAAAATTTTTTTTTTAAATCATGTATTTTAAATTTGGAGATTAACATGCATAGAGCCTTGTTTAATGCTGGCAACTCCGTATACATAGAAAATTCTTTGGGTGTCATTATCAGGAGTCTGGACAAACCACAGTGCATCTATATAATGGAGTGCTATTCAGCAGTAAAAAAAAAAAAAAAAAAATTACCAAGCCATGGAAGAACTTTAAATGCATACTGCTAAGTCAGAGGTGGCAAGCTAAAAAGGCTGCGTACAATATGATTCCAACTATGAAATTCTGGAGAAGGTAAACTATGGAGACAGTAAAAAAGATCAATAGTTGCCAGGTTTCAAGAGGAGGGATGGAGTGAGAAGGATAAGTAAGTAAAATACAATTTTCAGAGCACTGCCCAATTATTCTATAGAATACAGTAATGGGGGATACATGTCATTGTGTTGTACATTCTAAAACCCATGGAATGTACAAGAAAGAAAATTCTACACTTTAAAAAAAAATAATGTATCAATATCAGCTTAACTGTAGCAAATGTTATCACACTAATGCAAGATGTCAATAATAGTAACTGTGTGCGCTGGGGTGGGGGAAGAAATTATTTTCAACTCAATTTTTCTGTAAATCTAAAACTGCTATAAAACAATAAAGCCTATCAGTTTAAGATAATAGGAAAAGGAAATTCTTTTGAATATAGTGTTCTGGAACAACTGAATATAACCATAGGAATAAGAAAATGGATCTCAAGGGCCTATTTCACACTACACACAAAAATTAAGATTAGTCATAGATCTAAATGGAAAAGCTGAAACTGAAAAATTCTACAAGGCTTACAGAAACCATCTTTACAATCTAGGAGTAGGCAAGTTTCTTATACAGGATCCAGAAAGCAGTAACCATAAAAATATGACAGATTGGACCTCATCAATATTAAAAACTTCTGTTTATGAAATGATACCATTACAAGTTAAGAGACAAGTCACAGACTGGGGGAAAATAGTCACAATACGTTTATCTGAAAAAGATTTGTAGGAAGACTTATAAACAGAACTACTCTACCTCAATAATACAAAAACCCAATTAAAAATGGGAAAAGCACCTGAAAAGGCCCCTTACTGAAACACATGAAAAAGAGCATAAAGGAGAAATCCAAATTAATGAGAAACTAGTATATGCCCATAAGTAAAATTAAAAGACTGACAAAACCAAATGCGGGCAAGGATGCAGAGCAACTAGTAGTGCTAAATGGGAAATTAGCCTGTTTTTCATTAAGTTAAACACCTACCCTGTGACTTAGCAATACTGCTTCTAGTTTTTCCTAGGAGAAATGAAAATGTACATTCACAGCTTTACTCATAATAGCTCCATAAAGGAAACAACCCAAATGTCAATCAGTAAAGATGGGCAATTAAATTACAATACATTCATACAACTGAATACCATGAGCAACAAAGAGAAATAAACTACCACACCAAACAGCATGGATGAAATGCAAAAGCATGTTGAGCAAAAGAGGTCAGATCCTCAAACACTGTATAATGAAAAAGTCCATTAATATGAAATTATAGAACAAGCAAAACTAATTTTATAGTATATGCAGAGAGAACAGTGGTTGTACCTGGAATAGAGAGGACTGACCTGGAAAGGGCAGAAGGCTCGTTCCAAAACACAATGGTATATATGCTCTTATCAGAATTCACTGAACTGCACACTACGATTTATGTATTTTGTTGTATGTAAACTATACCTCATATTAAAAAAAACTGAAACGAACTGTCCAAATTTATTTGAAGACTGGACCTTGTTGCAGGAAATAAGAGTAAAAGGACGGAGTTTTTTTTCATTTCATACTTTCTGTATAGTATGGTATTTCTATGTGTACATTTACAGTAACTTACACAAAGCTGGAATTTAAGTACAAATCTACTGCCAACTTTATCAGAGAAGAAAAGCTATACTATAGCCATACTATTGGTATGGAGGCTGGTTGTAGGATCCCAGTTGGGCAGGCCCAAGATACTTGTTTAATTGATTCTGAAAAACTTTTTTAAATTAGAAATGCCTTTTGGATAAAATTGGACCTGTATTTTATTAGCAATAAAGGGTTAATAGTTTTTAGAGAAAAAAATAAACGTGTATATATATTCATATGTATGTGCAGCAAAGCATATACACAGAACTACTGGTAGAAGAGAAAGACAAGTGCAGAGCATAATGGGATATAGTTCAGTCAACTTCACACCAATCTGTATTTCCAGATTCTCTTGAAAAACTAAAAGACCTATCCCACAGGGCCTTTATTCCCATGGCACATTACAGCTGCCTTGACCTCATCCTTCATTCACTTTCATTACCTGCCTGGTCCCACAACCCTTTGAATTTTCAACTCCTCTGATTACTACACGATTTGAATCCTTTATAAAAGAAACTATTTGTGTGTAATTGAGAAATAATAAACTAATAATTTTTTTTTAACAGCTTAAGATCATCCTGGTGCTATCCAAAGAATAAATTGAGACACATTCTTTCCACATACATGTGAGTTTTAGGAGAATGGAGTTTAAAAACTTACCAATGTTGAACTGATGGTAAATTTTTTTCTTTAAATTTTTAGGAACCAATAATAGTAATCCATTTGCTTCCCAAGTCTCTTAAAATTTTCCAAATTATATTACTATACAACTATACAAAGAAAGTTTAAAAATATATATATATATGTAAAAATACATACCATAAGCTTTTGCCCTGGTTCAGGACAGAAAATAACAAAATCTGCTTCAATGTTAAGATGAATGTGTCCTTGATCATCATAAATATCTCCCAGTTCACCCACTACTTTGATGTTATCATATGCAATGGGGACACCTAAAAGGCTATTAAAAAAGAAAAAAATATTTTTATCCTCTTTTAAACTAGGCCATCATACTGATTAAATATATTGAGTCCAAAAATTATACACCTCTTAAATATAACCACACATGCCAAAACACAAGAGCATATGATTAATCCCTAACTACTTGAGTAATTCAATTTCACCAAAGGGTTCCAATATATTGACTAAGTTAAAAATGATTATTCCAGATAGGTATCGAGAAACAAAATGTCCAATTATGCATGAGCAATAGGTTGACCTATTAGCTATGCATTTGAATCCTAGTCATGCTAGAATGAGACAAAAAAAAGACTTGCAAGAAAAATGTCTCTATTTCTGAGTATAACTGAAGGCAATTTTGGTATTATCCGCCATTACTGAATTTCTATACTAGATGGTCCCTAGTAAGAGAAGTATTAGAGTCACAGGTGAAGCCTCTAAATATTAAAGCCAATAACTTAAGGGAGAAAAATCCTCAAACTACAACTGTTAGTAATAAATAGAAATGTTAAATAAAATATGTAGTTTTATTTATCAAGAACTGATTTTGCTACTTTAGTCTACATAGTATGACAAGATTAGGGGACAGCTACTATTTCAAAATGTCATTTCCAAATACTTAAATTTTAACTACTAAGGAGGCACACCTGGTGGCTTCACTACCACACCCACTACTTCTACGTGTTCAAGAAAACTTCCCAGATTCTCCAAGGCAAGGTTGAAATCACTCCTCCTGCACTCCTAGAAGACACTGTGGCACAGCATCATCACTGAATTTAATCTCATTTTATTGACTATCTATTGTATCTTTGCATTCCATACACGAATCTAAGGCCCTTGAGAGCACAGAACATTTTTGTTGAACTCTATTAAATTTCTAAAATTATTCACACAGCCTAAGAGAAAGAATTTATCCCTAATAGCTGTTGCTTAAATAAAACAGCCAGGAACCACTGGAAAGGAATTTTAATAACTATCAAATCAAAAAAGACCATAAACTCAGAGACTTAACTCAAACTTCCTCCAGAAAGCATTTTTTTCAACTGTTAATTTGTGCATGTGTTTTCCCAAGCAGGAACTACATCACTAGGACAATCTTAGAGGCACAGAAAACCCAGAAGTCTACATGACCTCTGAATGAGGGAACAAATGGGTTTGTAAATAGGTGGACATAGAATCTAGTTCTAAATATATATAAATATCTAAATATACGTCTGTGTATATATTTATTTATATATACACACATGCACGTGTGCACACACACACACATATATCAGCATAAAGTCACGTTTGCATCATTTCAATATACGTTAAAATTTCCAGGAATGTAGTAGCAAATTCAAGGGTGGATTATTAAGTAGGGAACTCTACTGAGAACTACTCATTACTTCAGAAAAGCATTTCACCAGTGGAGACACTGTATGTGTGCTCAGTTGTCAACTCAAAACCCCTGCGTCAATCCACCCTTGTAACAGACACATTGACGATTCTAGGTATCAGTGCAGAACTCAAACTACTTTAGTCTTTCCATGTAGTCATGCTTGAGCATTATCACACTGAAACATATTTTATGGTATTATGTTGGAGCACTTACAGGTGTTTTTTTTTTTTTTTTTTTTGCAATTGTGAAGGTACATTATATTACCTTTAAGTTTCAATTCACAGTAAAGATGTATTTTCATGATAGTAAAGGTAGTAATGCAAACTATTTCCTATAAGAGAGAGGTATTGGATTCTGTAGGGTTCAAAATTGGTAACTAGGGAATGTGACCATAGAGCCCAAACCCAAAAGGATTTGGGTAAATCCATGAAACCCTTAAGAAACCATTCATTGGACATCTAAATTTTTTTCCAAATAAAATACTGAAAATATTGATTATGAAACATATGTTTATCTACTTCTGTCTTATTATGGAAAAAGGATAAATTTGGATCTGTTCATAAACACGTTTTATGCTTACTGAAAGATTGTACCATAGAGGGGGACTGACCTTAGGAGGGAGGGACTCTGTGAGGGCAGAGAGGGGAGAGGAGAAGACCTGCCCCAGGCTCCCCAGGTTGGGGGGCTGCACTGACAAGACAAATCCCCATAACATTTGGTTTTGAAAACCTGAGGGGCCTGGCTTCTCCCATTTTTTTTTGTTTTTGGTTTGTTGTTGTTTTTTAAACAACCAACAGGACTTAACACCTAGAGCTTTAAAAAGCAGCAGCCTCAATACATTAAGAGGCAGGAGGGGGACAGAAAACAGAGTCTCTGCCCTTAAAGAGACAGAACAAACAGCCCCACTGAGATACAGCACAGAAGCAGTAGTTTGAAAAATGCCTGGGGTATACAGGAAAGAGATTTATTTAATAATCTCAGAGCATGGGCTGAAGAGGCAGGGAACTTTGGGAGATTTCTCTAAGAACAAAAGAGCTGGTGGGCACCATTTCCCTCCCCAACACCTGCCCCCAGCCTAAATACAGGACCCAGCACAGCACAACAACCTACACCTACCTTGCTAAAAGCATGCCCCAGCCACACATTTATGTGGATCCACCCCCTCCAGCCCTCTGCAGTTTTCCCAGGCTGCTTTAGCTCCTCTCCCACAGCAGATCAATGTAGTAGACCTTGCTGGCACTGCATGCAGCACACCCAGCTCCCCTGTTCTCCTGCAGATCTTGGCTGAAGCCCATTCAAAGCAGTGCTGCAAGCCCCAACAGGGGCCAGCACCACTCCAAAGTGACACATGCCCCTGGGAGAGGGAAAATAATAGCACACACCAGTCAAGTTGCAGCCCCAGCAGTGGATTGGGGACAGACATTGGTCTAACAGCAGACCCAACCCACCAGCAGAAGCTTCTCAGGTGACCACACAGGGAAAGCACCCTTGAGTTGGTGCTACCACAGCTCTGGAAAAAGACTGCTCTGGCTCAATTCAAGCCCAAGGTGGCCCCAGACTAGCCCACTAACAACACATGGACCAAACCCTGCCCACACAAGCAAAGAGAGCCATTGCAGATGACTGGACTGAAGGAAAACATGTCTCAGCCACAAAAGCAGGGCACACACAACACACATAACAGACACCCCAGAACTGCCAGGTTCTGGTGAATAGGAAACATTGCACTACAGGGCATTACAAGACCTCTTGTATTTAAGGGCATTACTTTCAAGAGCAAATGACTTTCCTAACACATACACCCAGAAATAGACAAAATGAGAAGGAATATGTCCCAAATGAAAGAACAGTACAAATTCACAAGAAGAGAGCTAAACGAAATGGGATAATATACTTGAGAAAATAATGATCGTAAGGATGATCACTGGATTTGAGAGAAGAGTGAAAGACATCAGTGAGACCAGGGGCGCCTGGGTGGCTCAGATGGTTAAGCGTCTGCCTTCGGCTCGGGTCATGATCCCGGGGTCCTGGGATCGAGTCCCGCATCGGGCTCCCTGCTCCTTGGGAGCCTGCTTCTCCCTCTGCCTCTCTCTCTCTGTCTCTCATGAATAAATAAATAAAATCTTTAAAAAAAAAAAAGACATCAGTGAGACCCTCAACAAATAAACAGTAAACATAAAAAAGAAACAGATATGAAGAACTCAATAAGTGTAATTTAAAATATCCTAGAGGGAATAAATCATAGTTGGAGGATGCAGAAGAATGGATCATCGACCTTGAGAACAGCATAATGGAAAGCAATCAAGATGAACAGGAGAGAGAAACAAATAATAAAAAATGAAAATGGATTAAAGGAACTGAGGACACTATCGAGTATAATAACATTTGCATTATGAGGATCCCAGAAGGAAAACAGACAAAAGGGAGCAGAAAATTTATTTGAAGAAATAATAGCTGAAAACTTATTGAGTCTGGGGAAGGAAACAGACATCTAGATCCAGGAGGCACAGAGGGCCCCAGACAAAAGCAACCCAAAATGTCCATACCAAGACACACGGTAATTAAAACGGCAAAAAATGATAAAAAGGATTTTAAAAGCATCAAGAGAAAAGAAAACAGTTACATATAGGAAACTTCATAAGGCTATCAGTGGAGTTTTCAGCAGAAACATTGCAGGTCAGAAGAAAGCGGCTTGATACATTCAAGGAAAAAGAAAAAAAGAACAGCCACGAGGATACTCTATTCAAAATAGGAGAGATAAAGGATTTCTCAAACAAAAGTTAGAGGAACTCATCACTAGTAAACATAGTAACAAACATAAGAAAGTAATCAAGAGTAATACAATAATAGTAGAGGACTTTAATACCCCACCCCCATCAATAGATAGATCATCCAAACAGAAAATCAACAGTGACTCTGAATGACACACTGGAACAGATGGATCTAACAGATAAATACAGAACATACCATCCTAAAACAGGAAATACACATTCTTTTCAAATGCACACAAAATATTCTCCAAAATAAGTATGTTAGCTCACAAAACAAGTCTCAACAAAATTCAAAAAGACTGAAGTCATACTATGCAACTTTTCCAACCTTAATGCTATCAAAGTAGAAATCAACCAGAAGAAAAAAATCTAAAAGAACACAACTATGTGGAGATTAAGTAACATACTACTAAACTGTGAATGTGTCAGCCAAAAAAATCAAAGAGGAAATAAAAAATTACACAAAGACAAATAAAAATGAAAACACAATGGTCCAAAATGTTTTGGAGTTGCAGTAAAAGCTGTTCTAAGAGGGAACATTATAGCACTACAGGCCTACCTCAAGAAACAAGAAAAATCTCAAACTAACTTTACACCCAAAGGAGCTAGAAAGAGAGCAAACAAAACCCAAAACCAATAGCAGGAAGGAGATAATAAAGATTAGAGCAGAAATAAAATAAAAACTAAAAAACAGATCAATGAAACCAGGACGAGGTTCACTGAAAAGATTAACAAAATTGATAAACCTTTAGCCATACTCTTCAAAAGAGAGAGAAAATTCAGACAAAATCAGAATTGAAAGAGAAATACCAACATCAGAGAAATACAAAGCATTTTAAGACATTAAAA